TCCTGTCACAGGAGCTACGTGCCACCACTGAATCACCCACCAGGAAGCACGGAGGGCAAAACACCGGCAGTCATCTCTGAGGCAAGAGCTCACTAACGCAGCCTTGCCCGACATGAAGACAGAGCTGCCCTTCCTGCAGATAACCTTTAGCAAACGTGGTGAACTGCACGGAATAGGTGTTGTATTCGGGTAGACCAAAGCCCACTGTATATCCCATGAACCTCTGCTATAAAATCGAGCGCTCGAAGCAAGGAATGGAGTTTGGCTATGCAAGTGCCAAGTACCCGGCTGGAGAGGGGGTGCTTGCTCACAGCGATGCAGAGCACCTGTCTGTCAACTCGGCCTTCAGAGACATTAAATGGGATTAAGTCCAACAGCCTAATCCGATATCTTCTATAAAGAAGACAATGTTTTAAATAACTGTATTTGCACTACTTTGCCCCACTTTGTGCCTGTCACGTGGCAGTGACAAGTCTGAAAGAAGCTCAAAAGGGCTTTGGAGAAGACTGTGATGGTATATAGATGGGCTGCTTTGTTCAGAACTGTTATGATTTCCAAGAACATAATTTTAGTTTTTACATCCATTTTTGCATAGACACCATCTGAAATACAGGGAAAGCATGAGTTTTTGCTGTGATGGTTGCTGACACCTTTTATTAATTAACCAGCTAATTCTGCACAAAGGATACTTGGAAAAACACCAGGGTCATTGATTCAGGGTCCATTTTGTGTCTCTGTGGTCTGGCAGTTGTGGAAACCTGTAATTTAGCTTGCACAGGGAGAGACAGTGGTCAGCCTCACCAAGTGAAGTAGCTTTTAATTACTGATATGAAAGATAACTTCAGGGGGAAAAGTATGTCAGGGATGCCGCCTAAATCATGGAGTAAGAGATGGAATTCCAGAAAAGAATGGCTTTAAAACATTTTTTTTTTTTTTAGCGATAGCAGTGTCCTTTTCTCACAAGCACATCAGCTGTTTTGGAGCCCATTCTTAAGTGCATAGCTCGCTTTATCTATCTGTCTATCTATCTATCTGTCTATCTATCTATCTACCATATCAGAGATGTACACCAAGGACATATTTTGAGATTCTAGTCCAAAAGCCAAGAATAAGTTAAACACTGCAGTACTCAGCACTTCCCCTTCTTTTTGGTTTCAATTCTTTCCTGATCCAGAGGCACTGAAGCTATAGGCCACTATATGGATCTTAAAGTAGATTACCTACTGGAGAGATTTTCTCCAGAGAAATGCCGCTCATTTCTCATTTTCTGGTGTCCCCAATGTCAGCCAGAAAAATAATTGCACAGCCTTTAAATTTGTTCTGCTCAATTAACAAGATCAATGTCCTTGTGTCTTACATAGCATATGCATGTCCTGGATTTGGCTGGGATAGAGTTAATTTTCTTCCTAGTAGGTGGCAAGGGGCTGTGTTTTGGATTTGTTCTGCAAACAGTGTTGATAACACAGGGATGCTTTAGTTACTGGTGAGTGGTGCTTACACTGAGTCAAAGCCTTTTCTGCCTCTCAGCAGCCAGAAGAAAGACGTACAAGAAATTGGGAGAGGACACAGCCAGGGCAGCTGACTCCCCTCACCCAAGGGATGTTCCATACTATATGGCATCATGGTCAGCAATAAAAGTGCAGGAAGGTTGTTGCAGGGGCACAGCTTGGGGACTGGCTGGCCATCAGTCCGTTGCTGGTGAGAAATTGTTTTCATTTGCATCACTTGTCTTTCTTGGCTTTTATTTACCTCTCCGTTATTTTCATTTTTATTGCAATTTATTTTTATTACAATTTAATATTACTTTAATTTTTCTTTCCAATTACTAAACTGCTTTTATCTCAACCCACAACTTTTCTCACTTTTACTCTTCTGATTCTCTCCCTCATCACACTGGGGACAGGTGGGGTGAGAGAGAGCAAGTGTGGTGCTTATTTCCTGGATGGAGTTAAACCACAACAAAGGTACACATTTGGAATTTTGACTAGTGTCTCAAGTCGACTTTAACTTTTGGCCTTTCACTACAGAAGCACTTGTAATGAAATTTGTTAATTGAAATGAAGGACTAGTTTGTGCTCACTCTTTGCATTAAGTTGGCTCGTAACCTTCCTTACTGTTACTAGCAAAACTGGCAAAGACAGTAAAGCCTACAACTAATGCTCTGCTTTATCCAGCAGACAGCAAGGCAGCTACTAAGTGGATAAGATGTGCAGCTGCATTTGGCCCCATGGGTCAGAAATGTCACAGTATGTGGCTAAATCATGGTCAGCGTGGGAGGAGAGGGAAAGGGCAAGGCATGGTATAGCTTACACTAGGGCCCATGACAACTAAACTGAGAATATAACTTAAAGTCACAAGACATTTTTCCCTAATCCTAATAACTAAGCCAGGCAGACTGGCTTTAGTGCTAACAGATGGATGTTAAGACTCTGGGTTGACTTGAGATCATCAGGCCCAGATTTGATAATAGGCTCAAGGTCAAGACAGAAAGACTACAAGGCAGGTGTAAGGATGCTTTCTCAGCTAGTTCTTCTGTGGAATTTCCTGTATTCCAAGGAGAAATAAGTCTTGTGAGAGGCAAACAAGTTTTCTGCACTCAAGTATTTGTCTTCAAATTCACACAAAGGCAAAGCAGAATATTGACACTTCTGAGAAAAAATGGTACATCATTAGCTTCTCCAACCACACCAGTCTGCAGTGTCTAGCAACTTTACCACCTCAGCAAATTCCTAATGCACTAGTAATTGGTCTTTCTGTACAAAGGAAATAGAGTTTGACCCACAGTGTCAAATACAACAAAAAACTATTTGTAGAATGGTACTCTTGGTCAGATATAGCTTGAATTAGTTCCATGGTGAGAAAAATCTTTAGGTAGTACATTGCTAACATTTTCCTTGTCACTACCAAGCAAGACAAGGAGAAATAGTGACCGTTACCTATGCTGCCTGAAACAGATTTACATCCCTTGATACATAACACTGATGATCCTCTTGATTATTCTCTCTGGTGAAGTCCATATGGCCTCAGTTCTTATAGTAAACTCTGAAATAAACAGCTTCGGAGTTAAAATCCTGGGTCTTATGGTACTGCTATACATCCTAGCCTTTTCTAGGCCCTTCCTAAGTAGAAATCTGATATCCCCTTCTCATAAACTGTGAGACAACTAAGGCTGTGGCTAGATGTTCATGGTGGAAACTGCTGTTGTAGCTTTCCCAGGGTGATTTGTTTGCTGCTGAAGATTTCTGCTCTCAAGATCTCTATTTCCTTGTATTGAGGACGACCGATTATTCTGAGGGTTCCTCACCTGCTTTAGTGCAAGCCCCCTCATACCAGCTTCAGCCACCTCTGGGATATATTTTAGACAACTTCCTGACCCCATGCAAACTCTCTGTTACTTGTTAGGGTCAGGGCAGTAAGTTCTGTTGTGGTGCCCATGACCTGCAGTCACTCCAACATCCCCTCAGGTCTGTGCATTTGACAGAACTGGGCTTACAAAATGCCCGAGACAATTCACTATGAATTCTCCTCTTATCACCCATTCTAGTAGTTACTAGAACATCATGTATAGACTAAACAGTTCAGTTCATCTTAAGCTTTGGCAGAGGTGGAACTGTATTTGACAGGCTGACATCAGGACTGTGATCCTGCTGACTTTGAGTCACTATTTCTCCATAATACTCAACATAAATTTTTTTTTTATGTATATATATATAGATATATATATATATATGTGTAAATACACTGTAATCAAAGTAAAGACCAAGAAATGAAAACGTCTTCCAAGACAAAACTTGGTTTAATGTCTTGCTCTAATCAAATAGTGAAACAGATACATTCAGTGCCTCAAGCTCCAGCTGGAGCCCGCGGCACAGTGGAAGGCCTGTTCAGCCTTTCCTTTCCTGTTCTGTGCCGGGATCCGCTCCGTGGGGAAGATGAAGGCAGCAGGCTCGTGTCGGCGTGGGGAGGCAAAGAAGCCTGCTAGGAGCGGAAGGGCTCTGCGGGCAGACTCGGTGCTGAGCTCCCGGTCTCTCTGTCTCGGACAAAGCCCTGAGAGGGGCTTGTCTGGGGCCTGGAGCGCTCCTGCCAGCCAGGGCAGCAGCTGTCGGGTCCCCAGGGACCAGCCCGATGCCGAGTCTCGGCTCTGCAGGCACTAGAAGCGGGTTGGAGAGAGGGGTTGCAGATGGAGAAACGAACTTTCTCTCCACGCCTTTCTCTCAGTCATTCCGGAGCTTGCTGCAGTTGTTCCAACCAAAATCACAACCAAGCAAAACAGAAGTTGCGTGAGGCAGAATCCCGCCTCGTTCTGCCACCAAAACCGCGCGCGGGGCCAGAAACTGCCAGAAGGACCGGTGTGGGCTGGGGGACGCCCACCGCCGGAGGCTGCGAGGGTGGAGAGCGCTCCCCGCTCCGAGACCCCGACACCAGGTCCAGAGAGGGTCTGTCATCGCGGGGCTGGGCCGGGGCTTCCTCTCCGCCCCGCCCGCCGCTTCCCGGTCCCATAGCTCCTCTGGAGATGGGGCTGGGCCCTGTGCGCCACGTCTGCCCCCCGGCAGGGACGGAGCCCATCCCCGTGTGCGTGGCGGCTCCCGGGGCGGGGGCCGGGGCGGGGCAGGGAGCGTGGCGCGGCCCGGGCCGGCGCCTCCGCCTTCCCTCCATCCTCCCTCCCTCTCTCTCTCTCTCTCGCCCGCTCCCGCTGCTCCCGCTCTGCGTACGACGACGGCGGCGGCGTCCCGCCATGTCGGCCGCCAAGCACCGGGGCGCTAAGGGGGGCAGCCCGCCCACCGCCAACGAGAAGGGCGCGCAGCCCGGCGGCGCCGAGGAGCCGCCGGCGAAGAAGCCGGCGGCGGCGGGGCACGGCCGGGGCGGCAGGGCCGGCGGGGGGGGCCGCTCCGGCGCCGGCCCCCGCCGCGGCTGGGCGATGCTGCTGGGCGCCGCGGTGGTGCTGGGCGCCGCGCTGCCCGCCGGCTGGTACGTGCTGCAACTGCAGGAGGAGGTCGGGCGGAGCGCCCGGGAGGTGGAGGCCTCCGGCCGGCAGCGGCAAGAGCTGGCCGCCACCCTGGACACCGTGGTGCAGAAGGTAGCGCGGCGCCGGGCACCGCCGGGGGCGGGCGGGCTGGGGACTGTCGGGGCGCTCGGTGCTGCTCGGCGGGGCGGGGGACAGCAGCCGCCTGTGCTGGCGGGCTGCGGGCGGCCTGTGCTGGGTGGGGGCTCGCCCCTTAAATAAAGAACTGTGCGGCTGTCGGATAGCCTGGCTTAGGGAAAGCGAACTTGTCCCATTGCCTTCCCCTCCTCTTCCGTGCTCCCTCAAAGATGCTTTCATGGCATTAGAGGGGCAGATGGAGTCAGGGCCGCCGTATTCCCCATGCCTGCAAACGTGGCCCCAGAGCAGCTAGAAATCCCTGCCAGGCAGCGTAGAGCTGGGCGGGACGGGGCGGGACGGGACCCCGCGGCGGTGGCCGCAGCCCCCAGCTCGCTTTTCCAGGGCCTGAGCCTGAAGCCATTTTATGGAATACAGCCCGCACGCTGCATTAGGTGTTGGCAGCGGTGCGGACCTGCCGTTCCGAAGGAGCCTGCTGCCCGTAATTCTGTATCTTCGAGGCCCACAAATCTCTTAAATCTAGCGGGGCGAACGAGCTGCTCGTCGCGGTCTGTCGAGTAGGCAGGCAGGTTTGCTCGCCGAGGGACGCGGGGTGGCAGCGCTGTCAGAATGGGGCAGGATCCTGCCTCAGCGTCCTCAAACTCTAGAAAACAAAGCCCATGTGAGCTTCACTGAATAACAGAGCCTGTGCCAGAAACACCCTGCCTCCCACGTTCCTGCCGCAGTCTCTGGCCAAGGGAGTGAGACTCACAGTGTCCAAGGCAGTCCAGGACCATGGAAACCCTGTGAAGTTGCTGGCACAGGAAGTGGCTCAAGTGAAGTGAAATAAATGCTCATTTCCCTCATTTTTGTCACTCAGGCCCTTATTAGCCTCCAGCTATAGTTTCACAAATAGCACTGTCCACTTGGATACATCCTAGGGTGCCTAAAACCTTATAAAAGGGCATCTGTGATTGCATATCATCAACATACAATTAAACTCGTTTCCCAGGAGTAGGTTAATTGGTTGGAAGACAGTTTGTAAAGTTATGACTGAATCAGATCAAAGAAAAGGAATTTCTTGTCTCAGCTTGACTGCTTTCTGCATGGCAGACCATTCAGATTCCCCATATTCTCTGCGAGCTTGGGCCTGGCCTGGCAGTGGGGGAACAGGCACTGGCAGAGATCTGGCTGTTCAGTGGTGCTTCCAGAAACACAGTGCCCTGCACATGTGGAAATTATATCGACAGTCTTGGTGTTTCCTGTCCCAAACAACAAGAAAGAAAAGGAAAATACATGCCAGTGGGGAAGAGGAGTTGTAAACTTCAGGGCTACAGGGCTGTGTCTGAAGCTAAATCCTGGGGGGTTGACTCACTGGTGACAGGACAATGATTTGAACTAGCAAAGTTTGTTGCTTTTTACTGGTTTTTAAGCCATTTTTGTAGACTGGAAGAAGGAAGAAATTGCAACAGCAAGATGTAAAACTACAATACATGAGCATAGAACTCAGATGTACGTGCAGTGTATAAGCCCTTCTAATCAAAGGAGTGAGAACAATTTGTTGCCTCCCATCTCCGTGTCATTGCAGAAAATCATAAGTATGTGTTACATATTCTAGGAGAGGAGTATATAACAGAAGTTTATAAATAGTTGGTTTCAAAGACAACTGAAACTTACTTGCCTGTGCATAGCAGATGGCTAGCAAAGGTGGGGGAAAGAGATCACAGGGTTTCGATGTAACCCTTGGAAGTTTCGGTTGCTGTGGTTTGGTGACACGGAAATGTACTTGAGGGAGAGGAGAGCAGGCTGTATTTCATTGCTTTACAAAGGTGTAGGATCAACACAGGCTGCTGTGTTGCTTTGCCCTTCGTCTGACTGCAGAGAGCTTCTGTCAGGAGTAAGCATTATATAAACTCATCTGCTTTACTCATCGAGGAGAAAGGAAATGATGTGGAAATTTAGTCTTTAACATAGCACCATTCTCAGAGAGGCCAAGGTCATTTGGTGTTTAAACACAAGATAGTATGACCAGTTAGAGAAAACAATAGTCATTGGCTGAAGATACATTTTTATGTACTTTTTGTGATGTTAAATCTTTCAAGAGCTATGGCTTTAAATCTTACCAGCCATGTGTGCCAAAAAAGCAAACTCACATGAAGGTTCACACACAGACCAACTGCTTTGAAGCTGTGAGTTTTTATCCCTCTTGTGCAAGGGTATTGCTTTGAGCCCTGGTGGCTCTTGGACAAATCAGATTAGAAGCTGGTATAATTTGAAGACCCTAGTCCATTTTATTATATCAGAGCTCTCTGATCTTCAAGTGGCTGGCCCAGATGGGGAATAGCTTCAACTTACACCATGAACATTGCCTCAATGCAGAGCAGGTATGAAGTACTTCCACTGTGTGAGGTGGGATCCATCTCTGTGTCAGTCATACAGTCACAGAAACCCAACCCTCTGGAGAGTTCTGGCTATTTCTTATTTTTTAGACTAGAAAGATAGTTACTTGCAAATATGAATTTGGTGATTTGGTTGAAATGTGTCACTGTAATAGAAGGGGGAGGAGAATTTTCTTGTGTTACCCTTTTAGATTTTTGACCTCCATTTATAGTGATACAGAAAAAGCTTTCTGCTCTCTGTGGATATAATCAGAATGAATGACAGCTAAGATCTAATGAAAATGAGGTTGGTAAGTCAGTCAAATGACTGGTGCCCGCTGCAATGCGTATGGCAGTGTTACCTTCTCCAACCTTTCCCCTTAGCTCATTTCTAATTTCCAGTGGGAACACTAGAGAATACAAGTGTAGGGAATGTAAAGGCATTAGAAACCTTTTTGCTGAAGAGGGAGAAAAGAAGTCAACTTAATGGGTATTCTTCAAACTGCAGGGATCTCCAAGTAAGAGCAAGTTTCATGGCCAAACTATAGAATTCTTGCACAGTGTAGACTTTCATGAAAACTAAGGAGGATTTTGCCAGGGATTTTCAAAAATGCACAGAAATAACTTAATTTCTAATTAGAATGTGTTAGGTTTTTTGAAAATAACGTTTAGGTTCAGAGTCAGTAAAGAAACTGCTGGAGGTTGCTTGAGTTGAAAAGAAAAATAAAAGCAGCTCTGTGTAGTTCTCTCTAAAACCATATAAAATATACTTCTTTCTATTTATAGAATAAAACCACCCCTCCAGCTGTGTATCTAATCAGTAAACATGGCAGCCCATGTGGCATGGTTGATTAATATACCCTTCAGACACAGGGAATAGTGTGAGGCAAGGCAACGAGCATTACTCAGCACTTGCCATCCTGCCAAAGCCTTGAGGTATTTTCTGTGTGATGGATTCCTCTTGCAGCCAGTGGGAGTTCTTACATTGCTTTACTAAGTTTAAGAAAGTACAACCCCCATATGAACCGAAAGATTTCTTCACAGTCTTAAGACCGGTGCTCTGCTGGGCCTCAAAATTAAGTAACGTGTGCTTCTGTAGCCTGGATCTTACCTTTAAATGTGAGAGTAAATGAAGATGGTGGCTCCTCACCCTTTGACCTTTTCCCTATGTCTGCGACTAAAACCAGTTGTAAAGATAGCTTTTGTAATTGAGAAGTTCAATAGTGTACCTGATGCAGAGGTAGGAACTTTCTGTTAATCTGAGCTAGATGCAAGGCAGGCCCTTGGCAGCTGCTGTGCTTTTGTTCTCTGTGTGTACATACATGTGCCCTGCTCCCTGCGAGTGTGTGGGCATATGCAGGAGTGGGAAAAACAAGCTGCTAACTATTTAGAACGTTAAAGACTTCCTAATTTTTTTCTAATCTTAAAAAATAATTAACAAAAAAAAAATCTCTAGTGTTTCCATTGGTGCCTAGGAGTGGCAAAATGTCATGATTACTATTTCCATTCCTTGGACCATCCCAGCTCCCTTCTCCCTCTTATTTTTCCTGTCTCTCTCTTTCTTGTCTACCACGAAACTTCTTTTTCATGATCAGGAATTGATCTTTGGTATTCTTGCCTGATTAAATATAATCCCAACTTTTCTGTATTCAGAAGCTGAAGCCTGATACTTTTTTGGTTTGGTTTCCGCCCCCCCCACCTCCTTTTCCTGAAGACTTGTGATCTTTAGAACCAGGAATCCTATAGGGGAGGGATGGTCAAGGGTCTGCATGCAGACTCTGGAGACCTGGGTTCCTTTTACACTGCCACAGATTTCCTGGATCATGAGTGTCAGGTCAGTGAGGCCAAGGACCCTTAACAAAAGGCTTATGTACTATAGAGCTGTAAGGCTCAAGATGCTGGGTTTTTTGAGCCTCCCATATCTGTATGCCACTGAGTCACTTCAGGCATGGGGCATGAAGGATTGCAAGGTAATAATTTCATCTGATAACAAGGGCTATAAGGACAAAAAGGGTGAAATTACTGGTATTAACCATGTATATTTCTGGCCTAGGTACGTTCTCTTCAAACCACATTTGGAGAATTTGAATCCATGATGAAAATCGTTCAGCAGAAGCAGGAGGTGAGCGAGAAGGCTGTTAAACAAGGGGAGAGTGAAATAAACCGGATCAGCGAAGTGCTTCAGAAGCTGCAAAATGAAATTTTGAAAGACTTATCTGATGGCATTCACATGGTGAAGGATGCAAGGGAACGAGACTTCACATCTCTGGAAAACACAGTGGAAGAGAGACTAACAGAGCTGACCAAGTCTATAAATGATAACATTGCTGTATTTACTGAAGTCCAGCAAAGGAGCCAAGATGAAATCAACAATATGAAAACAAAGGTTGGTTCACTAGAACATGCAGATGTGTATAAACATGAAATTAAGGTGCTAAAAGATGCTTTAGATCAGATGCAAGCATCCATGAAAATGAAAGAAAAGGACATAGAGACCTTGAAGAGTACAATAGACTCCATGGAGTCTGATGTGTACACTGAAGTGAAAGAGTTAGTCAACCTCAAACAAGAACATGAAAAGTTCAAAGAGGCTGCGGACACTGAACACCTTTCATTAAAAGCTTTACAAGAGAAAGTTCTGAGAGCTGAGGATTCTATTATGCAGCTCCCTAGTGACATTAAAAGACTTGATGAAGATTTACTGCAAATTAAAACCAACCTCAACAAATGGGAAGATAATGAACTCTTCAGAAAAGCATTAGAAACTTTTGGGAAGAACAGTGAAGGACTGGAGTCTCGATTGAGGCACATAGAAGACAGCCTAGAGTCTCTAGCATCTATTGCTGCTCAAAACAGTGAAAAGTTGGAATCTTTCCTTTCTAAGGAGGCAGAGTATGCGAATAAACTCAATACCCTAGAACAAAGCATTAGCACTCTTCAGGGACTCTCAGATACAGACGTAACTTCAGTCACAGATACTCTGAAAAATCTTGGTGAGGCACAGACTTCGCTGTACAACGACATGGAAAGCTTAAAGAGAAGCATCAGTGACTTGCCATCCTCTGGTGCTCTCCAGGATGTCCAGAAGCAAATTAGTACTTTGTTGGATCAAGGAAATCTTCAGGCAGGTCAAACGCTTTCTCAAGGCTACCTTGAAAAGTTTTCTTCTATGGAAGGCTCTGTAGATGAACTGCGATCTTCTGTTAGCCAGGTTGATTCCGATTTGAAAATGATAAGAACTGCAGTGGATAGTTTAGTCGCCTATTCAGTGAAAATTGAAAATAATGAGAACAACTTGGAGTCTGTGAAGAGCTCAATAGATGACTTGAGGAATGATCTGGAAAGGTTGTTCGTGAAAGTAGAAAAAATACATGAAAACATTTAGGCAGTGGTGCTCCTTGGGCAATTAATGGGTTAAGGAGAATAGCTTTTGTATGCCGTGTTTTTTACTCTTTTAAAAAGCAATTTGATACCTCCAAAGAGAGTAAGAATACTTTAATAATAGAGACAGTTCTGCTTATTTCCTTATTTCTTTTCCACGTAGTGTTTTTGGAGTTTTTGTTGTTTGGTTTTTTCTTTCCCCTAAATTTTGTTTTAAGAAAACACAAGTTTAGTTGGGGGTTGAGTTTCTTAAGGGCTCATCTTCTCTATGAAGTTGTACCACTGTTAAGTGTAGTGGTGTAACTAAGGCACTACAGCCTTGTTAGCATGGGCACATATTTAATGGCATGAAGGTGTTTCACACTGACACTAGATACTCCACACAGAAGGGCTACAGCTGTTCTGGTACCCAAAGCATACTGCTGCACTCACTGAGGATTTTACTGGTATGTTTTGGTTTGAGAAACAAAACTACACATTATCTTAAACTATCTACTGTGGTCAACTTAAAAGAGTGGGGCAGGTGTGGAACACCTCATCTGTTTCTGCAGTTTGGGACTCAGATGTGTGGACAGTTTACCAAGGGTCAGCTGAGCTGTAGTGTGTTTCTGTGAGACCTTAATCTGTACCAAGGAACTAACAAGGTCTGAGGTAAGTGGCACTGCCTGGGGCTAAGACCTAAGAGATTCATTCTTTGTGATCACAGGCTTCTTTTCCAGCATCTTCAGCTGCTGGTGCAGAAGATCAGTGCTTAGGAGGGACATCTGAAGGATGGGATTAATTTCAAGAGGGTGCAGTAATATTTTTGTCATATTGTTAGATTGTTTACATGATTAGGCTGTGTCTTCCTTGGAAAGGAAGGTCTTTGATAAGAGATTTTTCTGCAAAAAATCATCACAAATTTGAGGAAAGAGAAGGACCAAAATTGCACCTGTTGTTTTCCATATATAACAAGCATGCTAGCAACAGCAATAATACACTCCAAAACACACAAGAGGGAAAATCACCTTGAAATCAGCAGAATTGCTTCTATGGCATGTACATTTCCAAATTTCCACAGCTAACAGTGACCTGAACTCTTGTTATGTATTCGGGACTTCATGCCTGATTCTTGTCACTATTTTTGTCACCAGGTGTCTGGCTAAGGCATTGGTAGCAAAGATCCTTCTAGGAGACCTGCTCTAGGAGAGCGAGGAAAAAGTGTCATAATTCTGTAGATGGTTCTTTTAGAAACCACTTCCTCGTGGAGCTTCTTTGGTTTTCTGTATTTTTGGAAAGGATTTCTAATATCTCTCCTTTTCAAGTTTACTTCTGAACTTTATCCAAAAAATTGGTAAAGGAGTCTACACATAGGTACCTTGGAAATAGGCCACCTCAGCCTGGACCAGACAGATCCTTGACTGTGTTAGATGAAAAATTCGTAGAAATAGCATCTCCCAGAAATGGGAACAGCACAGGTGAAAAGGAGTTCTCCTAGGTAAATAGGATACTGAACCATATCCAGTGTTGTTCCCGCTGTAAACAGGAAAGAATTGCTGTCAGAGAAAGAGGGAGCCATGGCATTAAGGTAACTGTTGTCACTGTTGGAACTGCACTGTTCTTTGTTGACTTATCAAGTTCTTGAACAATGTTGTTTAGGTTACTGTGAAATGAACTCTATGGCTTATTTGCAGTATTTTTAATACATAATAAACATTTGGAATATTCTTTGCACTTTTTTTTTGATTGCTGCTTGCTTACTGTTGTGTTTCCCAGGGTGCTCCCGGTGGTGTATAGGGAAGGGCTTGGGGAAGTACCAGATGTGCTGCAGCCCTTTACTTGTTCTCAGCTTCCATGGGGAAATGTCGAGGCACTCTGGGAAGCAAGGTTTGAGTCACATCAAGGTGTTGCTGTTGACCAGCAGACTCAGGAGCCTGAGAAGGTGATCATGAAGTGTGAAATACCTGATCTGTGCCATGAATGAGTTCTGTGCCAGACACTGCCAGCAAGACCTCTGTAAGACTTCCTCAATGCCCAAAGCTTGCAGGACAGAAATAATGTGCAGAAAGAACCTATGTGGTATTTCCACAGTGGCTAGTCCTTTTGCTTAGCTTGGAATGCTGGACTGCAAGGCTCATCAGCTGCTAACCATTCTCATAATGGATGTCTCCCTTTCAAAAGTTCAGGAAAGGGTAATTTCAGGAGTATAGGCATCATCATATCCCGGCAATTCTTCAGGCCAAAGTCACAGAAATAAGTAATAACTTTAATTAAACAGCTGAGCACCCAAACCCCCTTCTATCTAAAGGTATTTGAGAGAACCTGTTGGCAGCAAGATGGCTTACAGCATGCAGTGACTTTATAGTAGCTGCATGGTGTTGGAACTTAGGCTGTTAAAGCCAGCAGTGCAGCTGGGCTGTATTTGATCTCAAAGATTAAACAAAGAATTACTAATTACACTTCTAGTAACTGAATTTTTATGGCAAGCTATTGAAATTATTTATTTCACTAAATGAGAATAATAATTATCTGTAAATAATAGCATGTCTGGAGGCAGGCACCGAGACAAGGATCCCTTGGCAGGCTGGTGGCTCAGCTTTTATGTCTGGTTTGACATTTTCATCCAATACAAACATTTCTTAATTTCCTCATAAATGCTCACAGACCACATACAGACCTAATGCTGCTCTTTACTGTCATTTTTCCACTTGGTAATAAAGCAGTGGAGAAGGTCTTAAGCCTGTGCTGCCTGTGTTCCTTTATACTACTGGGAGTTCATCAGTAACATGCTGTTACAGTAACAAATTTCAACATAAATTGTCTTACCTGATTGATGGGGTATTGATTGGGCCTTTTCATTAAAACTTGCCTTCATTCTCGGCTCTCATAAATGGAGAAACCATTACAATGAGGCACGGTGGACTTGATCACTCTTGAAAGGGCTTGCCCAAATAGCTACTCTGGTAAATGTGATGGAGATAAATCTTGGGTTGCTGCAGGGACTTCTCCCAGCGGGAATTCAACCATTGCCTTGAGCTGAAGTACCGAGGCGGGCATCTGGTGGTCTAAATGTTTCATTATAGCATGGATTTGTGATTTAGTGTTTTTACCACCTTTTTTGACATAGCTCAGCTGGTACCGTAAACAAAGCTGCAGGGAGGTGAAATGACTACGGGGAAAAAAAGTCTGTTTGAGATGTACAAACACCCCAGCAGCCAAAAAACATCCAGTGCGGACCTTCGCTTGGCTGGGCACTGCCAGGGATGCTCTCTGTCCAGTTCGGAGCGCTGCAGGAAGGGATGGCTGGGCTGGAGCGACTCCCCAAGAGAACAGTGGCGATCATCGGAGGCGAGATGTTACAGGAGAAGAGATGGGACAAACGGGGCTATTTAGCCATGGACGAGCGGAGGGGAAGGAAGGATGGAAGGGGAAGGAGGGAGGAAGGGAAGAACGAGCCCTCCCCACTGCCCGAGCCTGAGGGCGCGGGGCGGCGGCGCCGGGCGCCCCCCGGTGGCGGCAGCGCGGCAGCGGCGCGGGCCGGGCTCTGCGCCAGCTCGTCCGTCCGTCCGTCCGCCCATCTGTCCGTCCGTCCGTCTGACTGTCTGTCTGTCTGTCTGTCTGTCTGTCTGTCTGTCTGTCTGTCTCTCCGTCCGTCCGTCCGTCCGTCCGTCCGTCCATCCGTCTGTCCGGGCCGCTGGAATTCCCTCCGAGGGCAAGGGCCGGGAACGTGTCCGTCCGGGCGCATCCAGCTGGCCCAGGACAGGTGCCAGGTGCCCCTTGCCTCCCCTGCCCAGGCCCTGCTGCAGCACCGGCCCGTGTGCCCTGTTTAATGCTCTCCTGCACTACCTCCGCCCCGAAAAATCCTTCATCCACTGCGGGGCTGATTCTAGAAGCAACCGCCACTCATTCTGCCCAGTTTTGCCATTTTGCTAATAACTGGTCCCTGGCCCATTTGTCGTGTCATCACCTGCTTGGTTTATACGTTTAAGAGCGGAAAGCTGTGGCTCTTTTGGATTTAATATCAGCTCTGTGCAATACTTAGCACTGTGAGATGCTAATCCCTGTTGGTCCTCTGAGTACTTGCACATTACTGCTATCCTGGCCTTCCTGCATGGATTTTAGTAATTGTCATCCTCCACTAGCCAAAAGCAGATATTCACCAATGTCAGACATGCTAGTTCAGAATATTTACAATCAGGAATTTTGAACATGTATTTGTAAATCTTGGCATGAGGTCAAACAATAAACAAAGTGGTTACTTTGCCAAGAGCCCACTTAGTCTAACACTGAGCAGGGATGCTCAAAGGGCAATTCTGCCTTGGACACCAAAACAAAAAGTGTATTTTGTCCTTGCTCACAGACTGTATATTAGAGACCTCCTCGGGGTCTCCAATATACAATCCATTGCAAGCTCCCAATAGAGTGTAATTTCTCCAGAGTCAGTGCTTGCTCATGCACTTGGAAAATGAAAGAACTTGGAAATCTCTTTATGTGAGCAGGGCTCGATAATTCCTGCATTTATAATGCAAATACTAAAGCCCAGAGCTATTCAGAGTTAATACAGCATCACAGTTGTAGCTTGCTAGACCTCAGACAAAGAGATCCCTGAACTCTGCTTTTTTTTGCTTATGGAGCAGGTGTTCCCTTGGCTGCCACAGATCTGAAAATCGTACATCTCAAAATCTTTTCCAAGATGATGCTACTAGATGCTCTCCTTAGCATCAAGGGGACAAATCTTTTCTCAAGTGATTCCTATTTCACTGTGAGAGGAATAAAAGCCAAAGGAGCTTTTTCTCATTTTACTGCATATCCTGTTCAGAAAAAAAAAAAGTTTTGAGGAAACACTTATTACACAATTAACTCCTGTGCCTCACCCTGGTGTTCATCTGCAATTCTAGAGGAAGAAGCTAGTTCAAATAAGGGTGGCTTTGTTCCACTCAGAAAGACTTTGCTTTGGCACTCTCTAGATGTAAATATGTCAAATTCCAGTGGATAATCCTTTCCTGTCAATACTGCTTAGGTCGGGGTTGGGATGGAATCCTAGAGTTATGAGTAAGGATGGAAAACATAACAAGTGGAGAAATAATCAGGGTTACCTTGAAACTTTTGAATTTTTTTATTGCTCTGACTTTCAAAGTTCTGACAACTTTTTTCTTTGTCCATAATTTCTCCCTTTTCACCTAACTTCTCAACTGTCTATACATAGTAGGGGGATACTACTTAGAATAGAATATTATGCTTCGATTTTAATTGATTTACAGTAAAAATCTGAAGTCACAAGCAAAGCCATGCCTTAAGATGAGAGCCACTTAAGAGCTATTTGTTTAGAGAGAGCACCGTAAGCAAGGTGATCTAAACATAGGAATTGATATCCTTCTCAGTGGCAGGTAAAACAAAAACTTTGCAGTTCCCAGAGTGTGTTTGAGTAGTTCACACTTTGGTGTCACTCAGCCAAAAAAGCCTTACTGATAAGTAGTTCCCTGCCCTGGAAATTCAAAATGCTTTTGCAAGGGAGTGAGATCCAACCTGCACGGGGGTGTGCCTTTGAGCCAGAGACCTGGAAAAGGCAGCACACTACCTCCAGTCTGCTCAACTTTGGAAGCTTTTCTTGGACAACCTCTGCCGAGTGTGCAAAGTCTGTAAGTTGAAACTGTGTGGTGAAAAGAAAATTTCCACCCAGATGGGAAACTTATAGACAGTGACAAGGGTCCTGATCCAGATCCAACACAAGTCAGTAGCTACATTCCCCTTTTCTTTCCTGGTACAAAATTTAGGCCAAAGCACTTCCCCCAAAGCCACATTGAAAATGTGTAATATACCCAACAATGATCTCCAACACCTCAAGTTCAAAAAATCCCCTCCTTTCCTATGAGTTCATCAGAGCTGCTTACAGAATACCTAATAGCTAACAAATCTTCCCATCCTGAGTGATGCTCTCCTTTTTCAAGATCTCTTCTCAGGGTCTGGACACAGCAGCATAAGAACATTATCAGAGGAGGTAGTACTGGCTTATGGTTTATGGATTAAACAAATATGGTTTGTGGTGTTGGGGAAGCAGGCTGGGCCTCAGGGCATGCTTATTAGCTATTTCTGTTCAAAAGATTAACAATGTAGATAGCCCAGTGCTCACCATTAGCTCTTCACTGAGGGACAGCCTTCACCATGCTGTTGTTCCCAGCTGCCTGGAGTTTCAGAGAGAGCAGCTACCTGGTACATGCCTTCAGAGATGCCATCACAGCCCTCAGAGCTAGAAACAAAAGGGACATTGATTGATCTGAATGTGTGCCCTGAGTGAATGAAGCTGTTGTTATTCCTACATCATGCATATAACACCAGTGCCCAGAGGTTCAAACAGGTGCTGGATGAGAAGATTTATTTAGGCACCTCTCCACTGGAATGCTCTGAGCACCAAATCACTCTCCCAAGGGCATATTTTTTTAGGATTAAATATGGGCTTCAAGCACCCCATTTTGATAATTTTTGCCTCGTCCCCATACCAGATTTCTAACATCATACATTCATGTCTGAAGATGGTATTGGTCTTAGCACATGCATTGAGGATTCCACATTCTCAAGGTGGTTTCTTGGTTCTGTCTAATGTGTTTAGCATTTAAAAATAAGATATGCAAGAACAAGAGCAGCTTTTCCATTCAGAAATGAGATATTTGTATTGCTAATAATAGCCCTACTAGGCTTCTGTGAGCTTGAGATTGATGGAAGGATAATTAAGGTTTGCCAG